AACTAAACTGGAAAGTTATTTTCTGTGTGAGATCTGTTTAATTCAAACTTTAACTGGCGTTTGGTCTTTTTGGGGAGAGGGGTCTGGGGAGGAGGGGGCCTCTTGTTACTAGAGGTAAAAGAAGAACACCGGATGACATGGTATTATTTTCATTAAAATAGCAACTCTTAATTCATCTATTTTTTATCTTTCTCCATGGTAAACTGAAAAACATGTAGTATGGGGATTCCAAAGAGGCCGTTGTCATTTTTATTGTGGGCACCTAAAGGCCAGAGAAGCGACCTGAGCTGAGAAAATTGTAAACGATCATGGTAACTTTTTCAGCAATTTATTTCATTGATTAACATTTGAGAATCAAGCATTCTGCTTTCACAATCACAGATAAATTGCTTAGAAGTCAGTCTTAGGGCGCCTCTCCACCCAAGCCTTTATTCCTGCATTTTCCAGCACTTTCTCATAATGCGCCACCAGCCTTGGAAATTTGCTGAGACAATCCGGGACGGTAGGTGCTCCATTGTTCATGAAGCCGTTAAAGAAGTCGAAGAAGGTAATGTCGGCATAGGTCAACTAGAAAAAAAAAAGGGGCAAGTATAAGACCGTCTGAGAAACAACCGTTCTCTCACAAAGATGTATATATTCGTAAAATCATATTATAGTTTAAATCCAGCTGAATATCGTCTCAAATTCATTTCCCTGGGTTAAACAGAATAATAGTCATTATGTTTTGTTTTATCATTCTGAACTGTTGAACAGTGCTATTCCTCGCCCTTTTTATGTTTTTAAGCCTCCCATTCTCCATACTTTAGAATATTAATCGCAATATCATTAGTTATGATCCACCAAATCTTTTTTGTCGGCGCGCGACTGGTCTCAACGTAACACTTTACCGAATATTCCACAGCTGAAAATGTCCGCGGACAAATAACCACTCATATTTTCGCGCCAAATAGAGGCTATTGCTCATTTGCATTTAAGCAACAGACCGCTTTTTTTCGGTGTGTGGGTGCAGTTATCCCTGCGCGATGTTCAAAAAAATCGAGGAAAGCTTTTAAATCACCAGCATTTTTTTAATTCGATGTACACCCACCATCCCAAGTGGATTGTTACACCGGTAAACCCGCAGATGGTAGAGTCAATCGCTGGTTCAAAACAGGTATGAGTTTATCAAAACAATAGACGATGGATTCTGACTAATTAGAGCATGCGTAGTAGGTATTAAATACTTTACTGAAGATATGTTGCACAGGGTGTCCGTTTTGTAAAGTATGCACTTACGACACGAGGCCTTTATCACCAGATCATTTTCCTGTTTCTTTAGCATCACGTGACTAAGAGTATCTTTACTCTTTTCGAATTCTATGCTATTCGATCTCAGGTTATCCCTAGACATTTTTTTTTCTTCTGGTTTCCCTAGCCCTGTCCAGAAACCAAGTATACTACAACATGAAGTAAGGCACTGTGAAAGGGTAGTGTCTTGTTTACGAGCACAACACAAAGTCCCATTCAGGACTTAAACCCAGACCTTTCGTTTTGGAGCTCAGTCCGCCAGCCATCAGGTTACTTTGAGTCCCATAACAAGTACAATACACCCGTAACTCAGCAACTTACTTTATCACCCATGAAATATGTTCCTTTCAGAAGAGCATCGTAATTTGCAAGTCGGGCGGGCAGCGTGGTTTCCAGGAATTCTTTCCTTAGTTCTTCCTTTGAAAAACAGAAACAAACAGAGTTAATGTTGAAAAGATCTTATTGCAAGGCTATAACGTTACTGGCGTAATTTACACAAAACTAACCAATCATAACAAGGGAAACGAGTCACAATCTAATTATTAGTAACCTCTGCTTCCTTAGTCCTACGCAATGACTAGAACTTTTAATTTGTATTTGGATAGGTGAAATTTTTGTTCCCTCATATGTAATCAGCCAGAGCTCTAAATGTGACCCAGTGTTTTTAATTGTTGTGAAAAAGGAAAAATAACAACCAGTGAAAAGTACGTTGTCCAATGTCACTCCTCTGGGTTTATCAGCTTTAGGTCGTGATCGTTAGAATTTTGGCCAAGCAAACTTCAAATTTGAAAACCAAAGATGGATGAATTTTCAACAGATACATACCTTTTTAGCCTCATCTTTTTCAAAGTGGGCCTTAACTACTGCAAGACGAAGATCGTCGACACCACCGCAGATCTGGTCCGCTACTGCTTCATCCCAGGGATCGGTTGGACTCAAGCCTGTAAAGGATAAAGGAGTTATTTAAAAAGACCGCTGTTAAGTCGCAGAAATATAGGGTTAGTTTTTAAACAAAAGAAAAAAAGGAAGGAAAACAGGATTGACTTGGAGGGTTCATATGGAGGGGATATTGCGGTATGCAATGAAACAAATTTGTTCTTAGCATATCAGACACTAAGTGACTCTAACAACTGCTTGGAAGCTGATCTGTGACTGAATATTCAATTCCGGAGTTATCATTGTTGCGTAATAGGGGAATCATACACTGCCAATATTTAATCCCTTATCTGCCACTTTATTGTGTTTTCCTGATAATAACCTCTCCAGTCTGACTTATAATATTTGGTTCTACAAGTATTTCATAGTTTTATCACAACTCATAACGTTACCCACCTCCCTTTTTGCAAATGTACTTCAAAATTGCATCAGACTGCGCTAGTGTTTTTCCTTCAGGAGTCACAATAAATGGCATTTGGCCGAGCGGAGGCTTTCCAGCTAAAACAAGAACAAAAGAAGGTTAAAAATGATTGTTATATGTCGATGATTTCAGGGAAGATATCCGGTCAGTCATTAAGTGACGACGTCAATGTTTTGAATGAAGTTATTAAAAAAAAAAATCGATGTTAGCGCCGCACTTCATGAGTTTAGCACGGCACGCTAACATTTTCCTTTTTTTTTTAACCGGGCGACAGAGTTTGCCTAAGGTTTTGTGACAGAACCGATGAATAACAGTTTTTAACATCTCGGCGGGGAGTACTGACTGCTGTCAGTTGATCCGAATATTCCAGCACAATATTTACATATTGCGTGACCGATAAACTCTCCGTTAGACCCTAATTTATGCAGGTAGAGCTTTACTCTGAAGACTTCTTCACTAGATTCATTCGTGTAGCTATGCAGAAACCAAATCGAAATTGTAAAAATAACGTCAGTTGCATGTATTTTAGCAATTCCCTATATTCACAATGTGTCTATATATTTTGAAACGTTGCAAAATATCGACCGATCAATCAATAGGATTTAGGTCTGAGGAGATATATACATTTTTTTCAATTTCTCTTTTACTTGAGCTACTGTTTGAAATAATCTGAAGTGGAGAAGTCGCAGCGAAAATTATTAAGACGTTATGTTGATCAAGAAAATGAAATACTCACAAGCTTTGATTTCGAGCCATTGTTCGCGAGTATGGCGTAGATCCTTGAATTCGAAATTCGCAGCTGACAAAGCGAGACGACCAACCTCTCCTCTTGCACGGACATTGAAGTAGTGCAACTCGTAACCAGACATTTTCCGTTGAATGACTTGAGGGTATGTTTCACGAACTGTTCAATCTCACCCGAGCTTGATGAATTAATATACAATTAAGCAAAAAGAGCTGAGGTAGAAATGACTCAGCATTGTACCCAGTCTCCAGTTGACAGCGTCACGCAACCCAGTGAGTGGAAAATTTGGAATTTGGAAGTGGAATTAGAAAAAGAATGTTAAAGACAATACCGCGATTCACGAACTAATTTCACACTTACACAATCCTCTGATTGTGGACTCATATTTTCTGAGCCGCGGTGTCCAACAATCGAACTGAAAATTTATACGGCAGGTGCTTCGTGACATCATGCATCACGTCCAGTCAGGCGACTGTACTCACAAGCTGAGTCATTCTTAAGTTATTCTTAAAACTGAGTCATTCTTGACTCATTCTTGAGTCATTCTTGAGTCATCCTTAAAAATGCCGCAGCCACGCACTACCTTACATTCTTTGTGCGACCGAGAGGAAAACTTTGGCCTTCTGGCAGACCTCTCCCCTCTACAGTCTTGTCACAAATTAAACTTTCTCATTTCTAGGAAAGTTTAACTCTTTGTATCGTTAGCCATTGTGGCCTGAGTGTGCTCCTATGTCACTATTGAATACACCGCTGTTCTAAGACATTTCTAAGACGTTTCAAATTCAATTCAAGATGAGAGAGGGTTTTGTGGTTGCTACAGATGAAGGGAAATCTTTTTTGTTCATTAGTCGTTCCAAAAAACACTCAAAAGAGAACATCCCACGCTGCATACAGTAAGCTGTCCGTAAACATTTTTCACACGCGTTGCAAAATATTTGAAGGATTATGAACACAATAGCCTCTAATTTGCTCATCGTTTTCCTCGAGCATCGTTCTCGCATCTTGAAATAGATAATGCTCCAGACAAATATCTTTACATATTTCGCGCCAAATAGTGGCTATTGTTTAAATATCCTTCCATTGTGGCTACCTGAAAAATTTTTACGATCAATTTTTTTTTCTGCTAAAGGTTAAAATTGGTCACTTTTGACGCCTAGCAGCTAAACTTTTTTGCTGTTTTACGGCAAACTGTTACCCTAATTGAGAACCTCTTCAAAGCAGTTTCATGAAATCATACTCTACGCAATGAGAGAGCTGTTATGTTGAAGCTGAATTTATCCTACAGTCGTTTTCGACTCATGCGATAAGGTTGCTCAGATAATGAATAACAGACAGTTACTGGATGACTAAAATCTGTCAAAAGCTGGAGAAGTAGAATTTAAGGTAAGCAAAATAAATTATCAATGATGAAAATGTGACTTGAATTCGCACAAATAAAGACGTGTTCACCACGTATATTCACCACTTGGAAGGTTTATTTGGATCCAACATAATAACCGGCTCCCAGTTGGCTTGTTAGTTCAGTTGGTGGAGCGCTGCACCGGTATCGCAGAGGTCATGGGTTCAAATCCCGTTCGGACCCCGAATTTTTCAACTGCGAGGATCGCTTCTATTCGTTTGTTCAACTGCAATGCACACATATGATTTTCATAAATTTACAGCCATAAGTCAGATTCGTAACTCATCTTCTTCAGGAGACATGAGGTATTCATTGATGACGGTTTAGTGATACATAAGAAGGATATGTAAGATTTGCTTAATGTTTTAAGAACGATACATGTTCAATTAAGTTGGCATAAATAAATGAATAAATAGATTTCGTTGTTTTTTGATTTTCAAAATGTCCTCTTCTTTTCCTCCAAAGCGAAGACTGTTGACAAATTTAAAATCTGGGAATTAGCCTCGTGCGGCGCCGTTTCACAAGACGGAATTTTGTGGGTATACAGCAAATAAACAATAGATTTTTGACCAATCAAAGCCCACATTGTGTCTAACGTATGTCATAAATTCATGTATAGTCTACTAAATAATTTTCAAGTTTTTCTAAGAACGTGTAAACCAAACCTGACTAAAAAGAAAATAGACGCCATTAATTAATTGAGCATCCAATAGTTCAGTATATCAGGAGGCCTGAGACTAAAATCTAGACCACAAATGGAGAATTGGCCAAAAATTCCTTTGATGAGATCTTTTTAGGCTTTTGTCTTACTCTCTTTGTAAAAGGTCCAATTTTTTCCGTAGTATGGACTGCTCGTGGAAATAAGCTACAGAAATATTTTTTATTTGCGGAAAATCAGGATTTTCCTCTTAACAACAGCACTTGGCTTTGAAAGGTGTTGGCAAAGTTTTACTACTACTCAATGGAAATCAAATTCATGGATAGTGTTTGTTTTAAACGAAAACTAGCATGGATTAGTCTTCAAAGCGGATTTTCCTTGATGCGAGTAAATGAAATACTGAAACTAGCATGGATTAGTATTCAGAGCGGATCTTTCCTTGATGTCAGTAAATGAAAAACCGTCTCCCAAAGAGACCTCTTTCAAGATGAGTCGATTTGAAGAAAATTGCGCTGTATTTACTCCGATTGCACAGACGTAAGGACAAAAACGCTAAAAAAGGGGCTTACCAGTCAAAATAATTGTAAATTTTTACCATGTGAAATGAAAAGGTCAATTAAACGATGTTTATTTTTCATGAATAATTTAAAATGAAATCTGTGTGATGTCTTTATCCATATAATTCCTGGCACTTAGACCTTTGTCTAAATCAAAATTTAAAAAGAAATTTTTGCTGCTATAATTTATACCCATGTGCTTTTTACCGCATAGCACCGTGAGTTATGGGTGAAAATTAACATTGTTAAGTGTTGATTTTCCAGTTAAAGGTTGTTGTATCAAAAGAAACTGCCGGACTTGAACTCACTTACAGTTAAACTCACAAATTCTATATGATTAATGCAAGAAAAATTTATTTAACGACTTCCATGGCCGCAATTACGATATATACTACGACGGAAATAAGGCACTATTTTGCATTAGTTTAGTCAGTAGTTCACCATTAACATCAAAGAAAAGAAGAATTTTAATCGGGCATAAGGATACCGCAGATGGAAAAAGTGGAGCAAACTATGCGTGCGGACCTCTGCAAATCAGTGTGCTTTCCGGGCATATTCTTTCCTAACCGCAAAAGGAAAAAACAACACAACTAATACAAACAAGATAACAAACAACTCACTAATACCTTAACCGGAAAAATATATGATTAATGTCAAAAAGTAATTTAACGACTTCCATGGCTTGTCACCCGCAAATAAGATTTATACCTTGACGCAAATAAGGGACCATCTGCATTAGTTTTGTCAGTATTTTATCATATCATCAAGGAAAACTAAAATTTTAATCGGGCACAGAGATACCGCAGATGGAAGAAGTCAAGCAAACTATGCGTGCGGACCTTT